GCGCGGTGTGGCCGCGGGGACTGAGCTGGGCGGTTGGAGGGCGGGTACCCGGGAAGAATAAAGCAAAAGTAGAGGAAGAAGCCGGGCGGCGGTGGACCAGACATCCAGACCTCCTGAAAGGCTGGATCTTCTGGAAATGAGAACTGTTATTTTATTGCAGAAGAATGGGGAGGAATTGAGGGGAAAAGGAAATACAAGCTGAAAGAGTCCCCAAGGCAAGGATCTATAGCTCCCCAAGGATAAGATCTTCCAGAAGAACTAGACCCAAACCTAGGCGTCTGAGAACCATGAAATCCTTGGAGGAGCAGCCTCATCATGACCCTCGGCGTTCCTTTTGGTAAAAGAACCTTTTTTCCTTGTTTGTTCAATTCTCTGTGTTTGTTAAATAAAACTCTATCCATGTATCTTTGGAATTACATTGGTTCTGTAATTTTATGATCACAAGTAATGCCTCAGTCATCATTCTTGTAGAGTTATCATTGGCCACTGGTGTATTCCTACAGGGTAGAGGCCTGGAGAGCGGTTTTCCAGCATGCTGATGACATAGTTTTTATAGCAGTCCATTGGTTTCCTTTGTTGGCTTACTTATTAGCTATAATTCCTTTCACCTGGCCCACCTCTCCCCAGCTTCTTTGCCTGCTTTTGCTTTTTCGGTGATGGCTTTAGGGTTTCTAGGATATATCTTTATCGGTTTGCCATCAAGTGACATTATACCTCTTTTTCTGGCCATTATGCTAGTGTTGTCATGTAATTTGATTTTAGACATGTTATAAACCACAGAACCCATTACTATTGCTTTTGTTTAATCAGTCAAATTATTTTAAAAGATTCAAATAATAAGAAAATAATGTATTTGACTACGTACATAGCAATTTTCAGTCATCTCCATTTCTTTGTGTAGGTCCAGCTTTCTGTCTGGTATCCTAACCCTTAGGCCTGGAGGACTCGGTTTGCATTTCTTGTGGTGTGAGTTGCTGAATTCTTTCATTTTTTTTGGTATGCCTTTAAATGTCCTTATTTCAGTCACATTCATGACAGGTTTTTCATTTTGGCATAGAATTCTAGGAAAATTTCTTTCTTTCTTTCTCTCAGTACTTCAGGATGTTGCCACTCTGATGACTTGTCATTGATACGTCATCCTTCCTGTTTTTGTAAAAATGGCATAAAGTGGGCTTCCTGTGCTCGTTATATAATATTTGAAATGTGTATTTAAATTAAAAACATTAAAATGGGCTGGACGAGGTGGCTCATGCCTGTAGTCCCAGCACTTTGGGAGAGGGAGACAAGAGGATTGCTTCAGGCCCAGAGCTGGGGAAAGATAGCAAGATCCTGACTCTCTCTCTATCTCATACACACACACATACAGACACACACACACACACACACACACACACACACATATACATACACATGCATACATACATTGTGAATGTCCTAGATTCATCCTAAGTTGCGCCAACAGTGCACTTAAAGTAAAACATGCCCACCCTGAGGGTCAGACCCATCCGCTGACGTGTAATTTGTGTTTGTGAGACATTCTCAACAGCATTTGCTTTCCCCAGCCTAGTGGTTTTCATGTTTTCACACCTGAATGCCTTCAGTGCAAAACCTGTCAGAAACTATTTCCTTTGCCAAAGATTATAAAATACTTTTTTTTTTTTTTTATCAACTCACTGCAACCTCCACGTCCCAGGTTCACAGGATTCTCCTGCCTCAGCTTCCCAAGTAGCTGGGACTACAGGCCGGTACCAACATATCTGGCTGATATTTGTATTCTTACTAGAGACAGAGCTTCACCATATTGGCCAGGCTGGTCTCGAATTCCTGACCTCATGATCTGCCCTCCTTAGCCTCCCAAAATGTTGGGATTACAGATGTGGTGAGCCAGCAAGCCCATCCTAAAATACTCTTATGTCAAGTAAAAATGGGTTTCTCATTTGCATCCCTGGAACCCATAGAAAGCCTGGGAGAGACAATCAAGTGCTACAGAGGCAAGCACTAAGCAGGGGAGGACCAAGCGTGGCTTCCTCACTAGGAGACAGGGCAGTTACCTGCTGTGGTCTCCAATGCAGACTGAACTTGCTTCACCTGTGATGGGAGGACCCAGCCCAGAGGATGCACAGTTCCTCTTCATGGTGCCTTCAGATAGGAAATCTAGGATTTCACTCTTTCGTTGATCTACTTCCAACTCTCCCTTTCTACTTCAAAACCTTTTTTGGATCCCTCCTGTGCAGGACATAAGGGGGTGGTGCCCTTATTTATTGGCCCCTCCCTGCCCGGGCATCTTTGGAGTCCAAGCTCACCAGGAACGTTACTGCCCACCAGAGACAGTGAGAGGACCAAGGAGGGTGGCAGGTGAGATGGGAACCACAGAGGAACCATGCACCTGCACCTCCAGGGCTCCTGGAAAATTGAATAAGTGTCTCCTGAAGCTTCTCTGTAGGTCACAGGGAAAGGGAGGGTGGCTGCCGACCCACGGGAGGTGCAACAAGAAGCGTCAGGAGGCCCTGGCCCTGCCACAGGACTTGAAGACAGGCCTGGCCAGGCTGATTTTGACCGGTAGGCCCAAAGAAGAGGCTCAAGGGTGGCCCAAACCCTGTCCCCGAGATTAAGGTTTTCAAATGTCTGATCATTTTCAGGCTGGTCAGTAGAATCGTCCCACTTCTAATCAGGGGGCGTCCTTTGCCAAAATTCAGAGACCTGGGGTTTCTTCTGCTTGCTGCATAGAAAGCCAATCACCAAGATGATTATTGCCAAGGAAGGGGTTTCAACAGGGAGCTGCAGCGGGGGAGATGAGAACTCAGTCTCAAATCCATCTCCCCGACCAACCAAAACCAGAGGTTTAGATCGCAGGAAGCAGTGTAACAATGTCTAAGAAAACGGGAACTAGGTGAACAAGGAAGCAATCACAGTGAATGAGGTCCAGCGTCTCATTGTGTGGATGGCTTTCAGTTCTTTGATAGCTTCTTTGAGAGGGCTGAAGGTCATTTCCCGAGGAAGGAACTCAGATAAAACAAATACTAAGTTTCAAGCCTTAACACCAAAAGGTTCATTTCTACGTTTATCCAAAAAAGCTACATATGAGACTATTGGGTGGATTTCAGACCAAGAAAGAAAGACTGTGCAGAAGAAAGTCTACAGTTAACCAAAGAAAAAGCATCATTTTCTGACCAATGGATGTATGGGGCCAAAGAAGGGCCAGCCCGTAGAAGAACTGTTTTTTGGCCTGAGCATAGGGGAGGATGAAGTTCACCAGCTAAGGTGGAATTCAGGTGCACATGGGGGAAATCTGGGTTTTGGTTCAGAGCCTTGGGGTCCTCCTTAAAGGTCCTTCCTCTTCCTTGAAAGAGGAACTCTGTCTGGGTTTCTGAGTCTGAGTACTTTTGGAGGTTGAGGATGCTGAGGTGTTGGTGCTCGGCCCCCTCTAACCCTGGGCACTTCCCCTTCTGCCGGGCAACCTGGTCCGGTACTCAGACCCCAGCTCTGAGACCACCTCCTTTTCTTTGCTCCTAGCAAAGGCCGTTTCTGGGTCAGTTGTGAGGTACGGTCAGGACAGGACAACTCGCTCTGAGACTTTTGGCCCTGGAAGGCCGTGAAGGCTGTGGTCCTGTGGAAGTAGCCTCCCTCTTTTGGAGACGGCAGGGAGGAAATGACATGTGTGGAGGGAAGCGAGGGCTGCACCTGTGGAGGAGCTGAGGCAAGTGCGGCAGTTCTGGGCTGTCAACGTAACGGACATTTGTCACCCAAGTGGTTGGGCTGTTATTATTAATTTGAATTTTGTCAATAATAACTACATGGAAAGTTTCTTCTTACTTGTAGGCACCTCACAAGACCTCTCATCTTATATTCCAGGGAGAATTGCTGCATATGACACGAACACATCGGTGAGACTGCGGTTCTGACCTGCAGGCCTCGATGCCCTGTGCAGGGGACACCAGGGCACTGGCAAAGCTCTTCCCATACAAGGAGCAAGTGTTTTAGGTCTACAACCCAATCGCACCAGCTCCGAGTACAATTTCTACTCGGCTCTATGAGCTGAGTACACGTTTCCGCCAGCACAGACATCCTACAAACTCGCGTGAACGCTGTGGCGAAAAGCAGGGAATGGCCGGGTGTGAAGGATCACACCTGTCAACCCAGCACTTTATTTAGGAGGCCCAGGCAAGGCGGATCACTCGAGTCCAGAAGTTGGAGATCGACCTAGAAAACATGGCAAAACCTCAACTCTTAAAAAAAGAAAGGAAGAAAAGAAAATCAACTAGCTAGCTGTGGCGGCGCATGCCTGTGCTATTCCAGAGGCTGAAGCAGCATCTGGGTTCAACCTCCAGAGGATACAGTGAGACTGTCTGAGGGGGGAAAAAAAAAAAAGAGGGTGCGTAAGAGGTGACTCTGGGGACAGCGGAAAAACGCTAGGGTTTCCGAGCAGCGTTAAAAGCCAATAGGCCCCGAGGACCGTTGAGCAATCTAGAAAGCCGGCAAGTATAGATTCCCTGAACTCCACCCACCCCGGCCTCCCAAAATGCTGGGATTACAGGCTTGAATCCCAGCGCCCGGCCAAAACAGCACACCTCGACCACCGAAAACCTGTGCGGCCGTAGGCAAACGCGAAAAAGCTGATCTACCATTTACACTGCAAAGATCAGGGGAAAGCGCGAACGCAGTCCCCCACTACCACAAATTATGCAGTCGAGTTTCCCACATTTGGGGAAATCGCAGGGGTCAGCACATCCGGAGTGCAATGGATAAGCCTCGCCCTGGGAAAACCACCTTCGTGATCATGGTATCTCCCCTGCCAGGTAAGTATGAATTCCTACGCCTCCGCCCCGCCACAGCCTCATACGCCTCACCCTTTACATTCACGGTCACTTGCCCGGGACATTTCCTCCCCCCCTCCCCCCGCACCCCCAGCCACCCCGAGCCCTCCTAGTCCGGACACACAGCTGGGATTCTCAGATCCAACACCGGTCCTGGACTTGCTCCCACAGCACCAGAAATCCCTCATGGCGAAGCAGCAGCCCCTGCGCTGCCTCATCTACATAGAAGTCACCCTGTGTGTGACGTCACTGACAGTGTCTTTCCCAGTGGCGGGCCGCTCTGCCACTCAGCCCACCAATCCGCTGCCTGAGGCGGTGGGGGAAGTGACTCTGCCTCTCCCTTCTTTCCCTCCCTCCCTTGTCCTCTGGGGAGGTGCGCCAAGATCCCGCAACTGGTCTCCCTCAAAGAACCGATTGCTTAACCTGTGTCCCGTGGCGGCCAGCTGGAAGCCTGTGCCTCCGTCTCCAGATAATGGCTTTTAATTCGCAAACTAGAATGTTTAGGATTACAGAAAACCGGTTCCTTGCTAACATGGTTATCTTTGTGAAGTAGCATTGCGCTTAAAATCGGAAGTCCTTCAATATCAGAAACAAATAGCTATGAAACCAGAGAGGCTGCTCAGATGACTGCACACAAGCCATCCTGATTTTACCAGTGGTAATGTCATAAAGACAATTGGCCAATTACTTGAATCTTGTAGGTTGGGATTTTTTGTTTTTGTTTCGTTTTCAAATACAGTATTGTACAGAAAGAAAGCAGAGCATGGTTTCTGTCTCAGTGTAATGACTCTCTGGGCCTGAGAATTTGAAAAGGCTCAGGTTCCTCATATAAAAAAGTTCTCTTCTTTCCTCATTCTCTTTTAAGATGAAAGTTTTTCTTGAAAGCGTTGATGGTCAAAAGCTGGGCCAAGGTGTTTCTCCTTGCCAGAAAGACTCATTCCCAGTTAGTCCTGTCCCACACGGGGAGCTGGGGAGGAAAGGAGTCCTCTCACTGATGAAGTTTTAACAGCTCCCAATAGCTGAATTGGTGTGGCATCACAGAACGGGAAAAAAAAAAAAAAGAGAGAGAGAGAGAGATCACGGTCAATTCCACAGTTGCTGTCAGTTGTTGAATCTTCTCTAGTCTTCAGAGTACCATGAATTTAGTTTCCCAGAAGAAGTAAGAAGTGAGAAATACATAGCATTAACAATTTGAGTTGTAGAAATATAATGTACACAAGACTGATAATCACAAAGAGAATCTGTGTGCTAGAACAGTAAGGGAACCTGCTCCATTAGGCAGCCAGCTGAAAACAGCAGGGAAAACATGAAATCCCAGTTCTTCTTCAGTGATTTCTCATAGCCAAGTGGCTTCTTTTATGATTTTTTTCAAGAGAAAGTTCTACTTCATGGGAAATATTTATGTATATGCAACAGGAGGTATTTGCCACCACACATACATCTCCCTGCTCAGCTAAATATATCACTAAAGCGATATGATTATCTGGTACAAACTTAGCCAGTGAATAAATAACTTTTTGTTAAGCTGCAAAAGAGGCTGCAGTTCTATCAGCAATATTTTTCTTTCTTTTTCTTTCAGAGACAGGATCTGGCTCTGAGACAGCCCAGGCTGGAGTGCAGTGGCACCATCATAGCTCACTGCAGCCTCAAACTCCTGGGGTTGGGATCTCCCATCTCAGCCCCTGAGTCACTGGGATTACAGGCCAGAGCCACCACGCCTGGTTTTCATCAGCAACGTTTCCTGAGGTTACAGAAAGATTTGTAATCCTGGGAAGAAACACTCCAAGCAAAACTGTTATCCCCACAAAATACAAGGAGTTTTCTTCTTGATGGCCAGGCAGATAATTCTCTGGTTTTGCTCCAATAGAATCTCTATCTAAAATAGAGTGGTGGTCAGACCTAGTGAAAAGTTTGAGGGAACTTGCCCAACGTTGGGTTTCTTCAGAGCCATGTATGTATTCAAACATCCTAGAAGACATTGCCCTTCATCACTCCATGTCCTTAGACATTTATGGGACCTGGATAGTGATCTCCTCCAGACAAAAATAAATGCTGGTGCAGAACAGGAAAGTGTATTATAATTTGAGTACGTCATCTTTTGTGCATTTTAACCCATGGGTCAAACACGTTAGAGCAAGAGGGCAGGTTGACAGCAGGAGGGAGTGTTTTCCTTTTAATTTCCCAATAGCACAGTGGTGTCTGCCACAGTCATTCCAGAGTGAGGTGACAATCTGTAGAGGTTGCTGTTTGTTTCTGTGGGTTTTGTGTGTTTGTTTTTGAGACAGAGTCTCACTGTGACCCAGGCTGGACTGCAGTGGCATGATCAGGGTTGACTTCTGCCTTGACCTCATGAATTCAAGCAACTCCCTTACTCATCCTCCCAAGTAGCTGGGGCTGCAGGCATGTGACACACACCCTGGGGTGTGAACTGGGATTTGAGGTTTTAGCTGGCTCCCTAATGGATAGGCTCCCTTACTCTCCTGGAATACAGACTGCCTACATGATTATCATTCTTGTGTGCATTGTATTTCTACTACCTTGCTATTTTCTTTTTCTTTTTTCTTTTTGTAGAGACAGGGTTTCATCATGTTGCCCCGGCTGGTCTCAAACTCCTAAGCTTCAGGGATCCACCCACCTCAGTGTCCGGTGTCCCAAAGCATTGGGATTACAGGTATAAACCACCGTGTCTGGCCTAAGCTAGTGTCTTAGTTCACTAAAGTAACTAAGTCTTTATTTAAGCCATTGAGAAAAGCACAATTTACAAGGGAATCATTCTGGTGATCTTCAAGGCTAGTGTCAGCCATTTCAGAATACTGTTTAAAGAATTCTCCATCGAGGGTCCCTGTAGAACCACTGTTGCACCGCTACTCCGTGCCGCACCTGGGAAGCATTGCGTTGCTGCATTGCGTCCCACTGGCTCCACCACGTTGAAGAAATTCGGCAAGAAGGACGAGGAGTCAAGTGGAGGCTCCAGCCCATTCCAGCACCTTGAGAAGAGTGCCATACTCCAAGAGGCCAGTGTATTTAATGAAACTCCCATCAATCCTCGGAAATGTGCCCACATCCTCACCAAGAATCTTTATCTCATAAACCGTGGGAAGCATCTGGGGACCACAGAAGCGACCGAGGCCTTCTTCGCCATGACCGAGTTGTCAGTCAGATGTGCTGCTTGACCATCAAGGAGATGTCTTGCATCGCAGAGGATGTCATCATTGTCACCAGCAGCCTAACAAAAGACATGACTGGGAAAGGAGACAACTACTGGGGCCGGCTGTGCGAGCCCTCTGCCAGCTCACTGACAGCACCATGCTGCAGGCTACTGAGCGCTACATGAAACAGGCCATTGTAGACAAGGTGCCCACGTCTCCAGCTCTGCCCTGTGTCTTCCTTGCACCTGCTGAAATGTAGCTTTGATGTGGTCAAGCGCTGGGTGAATGAGGCTCAGAAGGTGGCATCCAGTGACAACCTCATCGTCCAGCACCGCGCACTAGGGCTCCTGTACCACATGTGTAAGATTGACTGCCTGGCTGTCAATAAGATGATCAGCAAGGTCACCCGGCATAGCCGTAAGTCTTCCTTTGCCTCTTGCACGATGATCTAGGTGGCCAGCAAGCAGCTGAAGGAGGAGGATGGCAGCCGTGACAGTCCACTGTTTGATCTCATCGAGCGCTGCTTGTGCAACAGGCGTGAGATGGTGGTGTGTGAAGCTGCCTCGGCCATCATCAACCTGCCAGGCTGCAGTGCCAAGGAGCTGCCCCGGCTGTGCCAGTGCTCCAGCTTTTCTGCAGCTCACCCAAGGCTACTCTCTGTTATGCAGCTGTTCACACCCTCGATAAGGTTGCCATGAAGCATCTGTCAGCTGTGACAGCTTGCAGTCTGGATCTGGAGCACCTGGTCAAAGATTCAAACCGCAGCATCGCCAGCTGGCCATCACCACCCTCCTTAAGCCAGGCAGTGAGAGCAGCATCAACCACCTTATGAAGCAGATGTCCTCCTTCTTGTCAGAGATCTCAGATGAATTCAAGGTGGTGGTTGTCCAGGCCATCAGTGCCCTGTGTCAGAAGTATCCTCACAAAAATGGCATCCTCATGAACTTCCTGCTCACCGTGCTCCAGGAAGAGGGTGGCTGTGAGTACAAGCGTGCCACTGTGGACGGCATCATCAGCATCACTGAGGAGAACTCAGAGAGCAAGGAGACAGGGCTGTCACATCTGTGCGAGTTCATTGAGGACTGCGAGTTCACAGTGTTGGCCACCCATCTTCTGCATCTCCTGGGCCAGGAGGGGCCCAAGACCACCAACCCTCAAAGTACATCCACTTCATCTATAACCCAGTGGTCTTGGAGCATGAGGAGGTCTGGGCAGGAGCTGAGAGTGCTCTGGCCAAGTCTGGAGCCCAGAATGAAGGTGTTACCCAGTATCTTGGCATTGCTGAAGAGGTATGTGATGAAATAAGACACTGAGCCACCTTCTATCTAAAAGTCCTGGAGCGAAGCAGAAGGCCCTCAATGCAGGCTATATCCTAAATGGTCTGACTGTGTCTGTCCCTGATCTGGAGAGGGCTTTGCAACAGTACATGCTAGAACAATCAGAAAAACCTTTTGACCTCAAGTCTGTGCCCCTCACCACGGTGCCCGTGGCAGAGCAGAGAACAGAAAGCACCCCCATCACCGCAAACAGCCTGAGAAAGTGGCAGCTACCAGGACGTCTTCCAGGAGCAGTTGGTGGCAGGGCCAGAGTTCCAGGGACTTGGGCCCCTCTTCAAGTCCTCGCCTGAGCCCATGGCCCTCACCGAGTCAGAGACTGAGTATGTCATTGGCTGCACCAAACACACCTTCATCGGTCACATGGTGTTTCAGTGTGACTGCACAAACACACTCAATGACCAGACCCCGGAGAATGTCACAGTGCAGACGGAGCCCACTGAGGCCTGTGAGATGCCTGCCCAGAGCTTGCCCTACAACCCGCCTGGTACCTGCTACACACTGGTGGCACTGGCCAAAGGAGACCCCACAGCTGTGGCTTGCACATTCATCTGCATGATGAAGTTCACTGTCAAGGACTGTGATCCCACAACCGGGGAGACCGATGGCGAAGGCTATGAGGATGAGTATGTGCTGGAAGATCTGGAAGTTACTGTAGCTGACCATATTCAAAAGGTCATGAAACTGAACTTAAAAGCAGCCTGGGATGAGGCAGGGGATGAATTTGGGAAGGAGGAAATGTTCGCCTTGTCTACCCTTAAGACACTTAGAGAGGCTGTGGATAACATCGTGAAGTTCTTGGGAGTGCACCCTTGTGAGAGGTCAGAGAAGGTGCTGGATGACAACACCCACACGTTGCTCCTGGGTGGTGTGTTCTGGGGTGGTCGTGACATCCTGGTGTGCTCTCAGCTGCTGCTTTTGGACACAGTGACAATGCAGGCGACAGCCAGAAGTTTGGAGGTGCTGCCAGTAGACATCACTTTGGCATCTGTGGGCTAAGGGGCCAGCCTGCATAGGACCTTATACCCTTCCCCAACACTATCTGGAAGTCATGCCTTCCTTATGAAACTGGTGGAAATCCCTTCCCAAGCTTCTGTATTCAAAAACAATTAGGAATCATTGCAGATACATATATTTTTTATTCTGCCTCCCTGTTCAGGACTACTTCAGGGTGACTATTTTTTTTTTTTTTTTTTTTTTTTTAATAGGGGATGATTTTAAAGCTTGTCCTAAATCTTGCTATCCTCCCTTCCGGGAAAGGGACATCATAAAGGAATAAAACATTCTCAACTCTTTTTGAACTTATCCCCCCAGAGGCCATCTTATCCCTGTAATAAATCAGCATGTATCTATAAAAAAAAAAGAAGAAAGAAAAAGAAAGAAGGAAAAAGACAGACAAGAAAAGAAAAATCTCCATCAAATGTGGTGGCTCATATCTGTAATCCCAGCATTTTGGGAGGCTCAGACAAGAAAATCGCTTGTGCCCAGGAGTTCAAGACAAGCGTGGGCAACAGCTGGGAGAGAATCCTCATCACTACAAAAAACCAAAATTGTAGCCAGGTGTGATGGTGCACACCTGTGGTCACAGCAGCTACTGCAAAGGCTGAGGTGGGAAGATCACTTGAGCTCAAGTGACAGAGCCTGGGCTGGGCCATAATCCTGCCACTGCATTCCAACCTGGGAGACGGAGTGGGACCCTGCCCCAGTAAAGACACAGATTCTCAAATCACTCAAACCATTTTATTCTAAACATTTATAAACGGTGTTTTTGTTGTTGTTGTTTTTCCTTTTTTTTTTTTTTTTTTTTTTTTTTGAGACACAGTGTCACTCCATCTCCCAGGCTGGATTGCAGTGGCAGGATCTCGGCTCACTGCAACTTCTCCCTCCCGGGTTCAAGTGATTCTTTTGCTTCAGTCACCCGGCAAATTTTTGTATTTTTAGTAGCTACGGGGTTTCACCACGTTGGCCAGGCTGGTCTCGAACTCCTGACCTCAAGTGATCCACCCACTTCGGCCTCCCAAAGGGCTGAGATTACAGGCATGAGCCACCACACCTGGTTCTCAAACCATTTTAAGCAAGCAAAGACACATTTGTCTGGCTTTTTTTAGTACAGTGCTGAATTATCCTCCAATCTACATTTTTAGGAAGGACCTGGGGAATGGCAACATGGAGTTATTTGGCCAAAATGCAGACATTTTCACGTTCTACTACTGTCTATTTTTGAAAATCCTTCCATTTTGCCTTTTGTATCCAGTTTAGTGGCCTTGCCTTCTTATACCAGCATGTGAATTAATTGATGAAGGTTAGAATATTTGGGCTCAAAGGTTTCAACAGTTAAGTCAAATTTTCTCCCAGACCCTATAGTATCTTGGCACTTGCATTAGAAACAGAAGGGGAAACTGTATTTACATTTAGATCAGGGAAGTCTTATATAATAATTTTAATTCACATAATGGTAAAGCAGAATACACAGTGGTAGGCTTCCCTCTTCCTGTGGGTGTTACCTTGAAAGGGGCTGTCAGAACAGAAGTTTCAGGGAAGGGGCCAGAGCCCTGGGGACTCTCCGCAGGTGATGGTGATGGAAGGAGAGGCAAGGCAGGACAGGAGGGCTCAGGTAAGGGAGACTATGCAGGTGCAGGGGCTGGAGGAGAAGGAGCAGATGGAGGCGAAAGAGACAAAGCCTCTTCAGTATTTCTCAATTCAGAAAAAGTCTGCTGGCCTCCTTCAGTTTACTCCTCAATGGAGGCAATTTTCTCAGTTCTTTTAGAAATTTCTAGGTATCATTGGAAGTAAGTCTCCCATTTCATTTGTCTGGTTCTAAAACCATTTTTTATTTTATTGAGACAGTGTCTCACTGTGTCATCTACCCTGGAGTGTACTGATGTGATCTTGGCTCACTGCAGCCTCCGCCTTCCGGGCTCAAGTGATTGTCCTGCCTCAGCCTCTCAGGTAGCTAGGGTTACAGGCACACACCACCATCGCCTGGTTAATTTTTGTGTTTTAGTAGAGATGGGGTTTCACCATGTTGTCCAGGCTGGTCTGGACTCCAGACCTCAAATGATCCTCCCACCTCACCCTTCCGAAGTGCTGGAATCGCAGACGTGATCCAGCATGCCTGGCCTAATTGTCCACACTAATAAATTATTTTAGGCATTTCAAAAAGATCCCCATTTTCTCCATTCTGCTCATGACTTTTTCTGGTTAGGCGAATCCAGTTTCTTGGATATTTACAAGAGGATGCTTCATAAGTGTTATACATAAACCCAACTGGTGTTTCTAAAGGTGGTTGTTTTTTCACGGTGTGCTCAGAATTTGAAGCTTGATTTCCCATAATTCAGAGCTTTTCAAAGATGACCAAGGCCCGAGATGTGTTTTGGGTCACAGTGTGTTGCTTATGAAGTCACTCCTACAGATGTCACCCGAGTCATTTATCACTCTCTCAGTGGCTCCCACTGTTTCTAACCACCAGGTGGCCACAGAGTGCATATGCTATGGGGGACCCGTCCCACATATACCATCCCAGAAGAGCAGGAAAGGGGGTTCGTAAAGATATTCTCCTGATGGAGAGTGTCCCATGAGGCCCGCCTTTACATGGTGAGTAGTGACCCTGTTACCTTTGCAGAGTCCCCAGTCACTTGGAGCACCTGAATGGGTCAGCGGGAGCAGATCACTTCTTATCTTCAGGGTTCAGAACTAACAGGAGCTCATCACAAATGAAAAGCTAAGTTTGAATGTTCAAGAAGGCATGCTACATAAAGTGAAATCACCAGTGCCTACCTGATGCTTTGTCATTACAGGATACTGCCAACCAACTTTCCAAAGTTTTTGAACTTATTTATACTTCTGCCAGAAATAAGTAGGACATTACAGTGCTCTCATTATGCCAAAATTTGGGAATGTGCGTTTTTTGTTTTTGTTGGGACGGAGTTTTGCTCTTGTTACCCAGGCTGGAGTGCAATGGCGCGATCTCGGTTCACCGCAACCTCTGCCTCCCGGGTTCAGACAATTCTCCTGCTCAGCCTCCTGAGTAGCTGGGATTACAGGCACGCGCCACCATGCCCAGCTAATCTTTTGTATTTTTAGTAGAGACGGGGTTTCACCATGTTGACCAGGATGGTCTCGATATCTTGACCTCGTGATCCACCCGCCTCGACCTCCCAAAGTGGGGTTTGTTTTTTTTTTTAAGTCAAGTTAGCTGGGCATGGTGGCTCACGCCTGTAATACCAGCACTTTGGGAGGCCCAGGCGCTCAAATCACAAGGTCAGGAGTTTGAGACCAGCCTGACCAACATGGTGAAACCCCGTCTCTACCAAAAGCACAAAAAAAAAAAAAAAAAATTTAGCCGGGCACGGTGGCATGCACCTGTAATCTCAGCTACTCGGGAGGCTGAGGCGGGAGTATCACATGAACCCAGGAGGCGGAGGTTGCAGGGAGCGGAGACCAGTACCACTGCACTCCAGACTGGGTACCGGAGTGAGACTCCATCTCAAAAAATAAAAAAGGTCAAGTTTATTGAAGTCGGAATTAAAATTCACCAGCATTACATTATGCACATTGTTTCCATGACATCTATCTTTGCAAAGTTGGCCTTTGAGGGTAGCTCTGATTAAAAAGCTAGTACCAAATAAAAACATCAATATGTAACGAAGAACGAAGGTGACCGTTTGAGAGCGTTTGAGAAGCTATGAGGTACACAACACAAATGCGTACTATTTTAAAATGTCAAAATATTAAAAAGAACAAATGACTTGAGTGAACAATCACAAAATTACCAAGAGTTAAGAGAACACATAAGAATTCCCACATCACCAGCGGCATACCTACAATATACAGGAATCTATCTAAACCCAGCAAGCAATTGCACTCTCCCAGCAAATCAATGAAGTAAGAGACAAACAAAGGCAATCAAAATTTTCAACTCCATTTCATATTCATCATGAATTCTTAAATTAACCATATATCATGAAATTATAAATTGAGCTGACATATAATAGAGAATGATAGTGTTACATATTAGATGATATCTAAAAATATTTACCCAGGCATCCTAAGTGGAATAATTGAGTCTTCTGGTTTGTAGAATCATAAAAATTAATTCCCTTCTAAAGGTATTACCCACTTAATTTATAACTGAGTCCAAAGCTCATAGCTCTTGCTGAATTACAGCCAATAAGTCGAGAGACAAAGTGTAGGGGCAGGGAAGGTGACTGTATTCCAGAGAGCCACCAAACAGAGCAAATGGTGAACTAATATCCTAAAGAACCAACTTAACATGGATTCCAGGCCCCTTGTATGTTAGGGAAGGGAGGAAGAAGGAGGTGTTTGAGGTGAAGAGGTCTGATAATGACAGGCTTATGGGCCGCAGTAAGAGCACAAGTGGGTGGTGAAAATTCTTTGTCCTTTGCCAGGTCACAATGCTCTTCTAAATCTTCAACCTAACACTGTTTCTTGTGTATACAACCTCTTACCTTCTCAGGAATCAGTTTTGGGAAGGGTTTTTTTTGTTTTGTTTTGTTTGTTTGTTTTTTCAAGACGGAGTCTCACTCTGTCACCAGGCTGGAGTGCAGTGGCACACTCTTGGCTCGCTGCAACCACTGCCTCCTGGGTTCAAGCAATTCTCCTGCCTCAGCCTCCCAAGCAGTGGGACTACAGGCACGCACCACCATGCCCTGCTAATTTTTGTATTTTTAGTAGAGACAGGGTTTCACCACATTGGTCAGGATGGTCTCAGTCTCTTGACCTTGTGATCCACCCACTCAGCCTCTCAAAGTGTTGGGATTACAGGCATGAGCCACCGCACGTGGCTGGGAAGGGATTATCGTCATCTGTGCTTAGAGTTAAACTATAAACTAAATCCCTCCGATAGATAGCGTGGCCTATGTGCAGAGAAATAAGGGAAAGCAGTTAGCCTAAAAGACACCACCACAGGGTAGGAAGGGTAAGGAGCAAAATGTAGTTAGCCGTGCATGCCAGGCCTCCTTTTCATTGCTATATATTTAATTTTCTGAACATAAAATTTTAATTTTTTATACTTTTTTTTGAGATGGAGTCTTGCTCTTGCTCAGGCTGGAGTGCAGTGTCACGATCTTGGCTCACTGCAACCTCTGCCTCCCTGGTTGAAGCAATTCTCCTGCCTCAGCCTTCTGAGTAGCTGGGATTACAGGCATCCACCACCATGCCTGGGTGATTTTTTTGTATTTTTAGTAGCGACAAGGTTTCACCACATTGGCCAGGGTGGTCTCAAACACCTGACCTCAAGTGATCTGCCTGCCTCAGCCTCCCAAAGTGCTGGGATACAGGCGTGAGCCACGGAGCCAGGTCTAACTTGTTGTTTATACATTTAAATAGATATTGGCAATAATGTTTGTTTCTTTGATAGTACAACCAGCACAAGGAATTTAGGAAGTTCTATTTATTTAATTAAAACTTTCTTTTTCTTTCTTTCTTCTTTTCCTCTTTCTTTTTCTTTCTTTCTTTTTTCTGTCTCTTTCTTTTCTTTCTTTCTTTCCTTCTTTCTTTTTTTGAAACAGAGTCTCCCTCTGTCACCCAGGCTGAAGTGCAGTGGCATGATCCTGGCTTACCACAAACCCGCCTCCCGGCTTCAAGCAATTCTTGTGTCTCAGCCTCCAGAGTAGCTGGGACTACAGGTGCGCACCACCATGCCCGGCTAATTTTTGTATTTTAGTAGAGTCAGGGTTCCATTATGTTGGCCAGGCTGGGTCTCGAACTTCTGGCCTACTGTGATCTGCCCACCTTGGCCTCCCAAAGTGCTGGGATTATGGGTGTGAGCCACCACACCCAGCCTTTAGATTTTCAGGCCAAAATAAACCTAAG